CTAGTCTTCCACAAGACCTTTAAAATTAACTTTAAGCTATTGACTTTTTGTGTGGTTTCCACCTTTGCCAAGCAAAACAACACAAAACAAAACCCCTATTGCAGACAGATGACCTTCTCGTACCGACCTGCCTCTGTATGTGACATCGCACACTTGAGTGACACCTGCTGTGACAAATTTACTGAATTGATGTTAATCTGTGCTGCCACCACTCTCCTTCTTCCCATTGCCACAGCAAAATACTCTTGAATAATTCAAACCAAAAGAAAAAAAATCCACGAAAACCATCTAATGTGTTTCAACTATTTGATGTAGATTAAGAGGAAGGAAAGATACCTCTTTGCAAGGAGATCCATCAGCTGCTAATATCTCTAAAAAAAGTAGGGCTACAGAGAGACTGTTCCTGCAGATGTCATGATGAAAGTCTAGGTGTTCATCAGAGAAACCTTCTTTGAAGTGTACCTTCCACTTACAATTAATTTTATGAGTGTGTGTTGGGAGAGGAGTCATGTTGTGGAGTAAGAAGGTTCTAGAGTGTTAAAGATGTCTGTCAATAACAAAGTATTTATACTGTGTTAAAGCACTTTCTATATTTATTTTTCAAAAATCCATGCAACATTTGATGAGCATTTTTAGAGGAATATCTATGCTCAGCATGGCTTATTTAAGACCAAGAATACTGAACTTGTATAACTCCAGGTAAAATAATAAATGTTCAGAGGCCTGGATTATTGCTACACTTCACAGAAGACATGCAAAAAATGCTACTCAAGTGTTTAGTTAGGCAAGGAAGTAACTGAAAACAGAATTATTACATGCAAACAAAAGCGGATTTTAAATAGATACATACAGCAGCTGCCTTTGACTTTTTGTTACAACCTGGCATGTCACTGTTTCTGGGTGCAGAATGGCTACAGTTTTGAAAAGTTAAAATATTGTTCTTTTTATATGGTTGTCGTCTCATGAAAATAAGGTCTCTACTGTCTTCTGATGCTCCATTGCAAACTGACAGAAGTCTATTGCAGCAACTGAGCAAAATGTACCTTCTTTGTAATAGGGTAGGAAAAAGGTCTCAAGGGAAGTGGCTTAATAATGACAGCTGAATCGCAGCTTGCACCAGTGCTAAGTACAGCAAGTGGCTCCTGTGATTTAGGCAAATTAATCTGAATATTGAAGTTGCTATGCAACTACATGTTGCAGTAGCAAAACATATTTACTTAGATTAAGCCAGGAAGGGATGGCAAGGAACCTTAGATCTGACTTGTTTTCCACAAAGGCATAATAAAAAAATCATTTAACTTGGTCTCCAGATGACTATTAAAAACAGTTAAAGCTACCTACAAAACTATTGTACTTGCTAGCCTGAACGTGGAAAGTAAACCCTGATCATGTGGTCTACTAGTGCCATCTATTGTGTACAGGGAAAAATACAGATACCAAAAGTTGCCTATTTTCTCTTTAAAATGTGAGAAATACTCTTTCGGCATTACAGTACCAATTAGAAAACATAGCCAAAGATCATAATATCACTTCTGTTTTTTATAAAATACAGCAATTATTATCATTTATGTGTATTACACCAACGTGCAGGACTCTAACCGCTGTCGGGCTTCATCATGCCAATACTGTTCCTGTATGCATGTATGGACCACAGGGGCACGCACGCACAAATGCAGTGAAGGACAGACCCAGCTGCGATAGTTTTAGTCAAAGCTACAGAAATCTTATCCATTAAAAGCTATTGCAACTTCCTCACATTATGTCAAATTTCTCCCAAATGAAGGGACATCAGCTCATCTTCCAAGGAAATGAACATTACCCCTTCTTAAAATCCAAGCACCATGCTGCCTTTCACCATTTCTCGGAGGAGAACAGCTCTTCCAGCTCCTTCCAGCTTCTTCCAGCGAGAATATTTGTGGTGGACTTTGTAAACCACTAGGATCTGCTCACCAGCCCCAAACACTCTGAAGTCTTCAAGCAGACCCTCCAAAACCTGAAGGCTTGTGAAAATGTGGTGTCAATACTGAGACTAAGACTCTGTAGTCACAGAGCAGTTTCAAATACCAAGCTCTTGAAGGTCTTTACAAACTTCACACTGAAATGTCCAAAACCTACTGACGTATATTACCGTAATACCTCTAGTCTGCTTGAAACTTTTGCAACCAGTATTACCCCAAAATAATAAAGCCCTTGCCATCAAGACGGTTTTGCTACAATCAAACATACGCTGCTGCCAGAGATAAGGCAGTGTGCAAACAGAGCAGAAATAGCAATTTAGAAATGATTTAGCATAATCACTAAAAATAACAATAACTGTCATGTGATTTACTGTAGTTCATGCAAAAGAAGTTTCTCAACGATGGGCTGACAAATAGAAAACATCACGCAAACAGAGGAGATGGTAAAAATATTTCTAGCATAGCTCCCAAGAAAAAAATAGCTATTTCTTGTTGCTAAGAAATGTGAAAATACAGAAAAAAGGATCTGTTGCAAAGGAACAGAAGTGTCCTGTGACATTATCTGTACTAACCTGTAGAGAACATTTGATTGTAAAAAGTTTTAAAAGTGTTATTTAACAAGAGTCATCTACTGCTAAAATGATACAACTTGGTAGAAGAAAATACTTTTCAACTGCTTGCAACATGTCAACTCATAATTCAACTAAAAAAAATAATTAGGATCTTGACTGAAAAGCTGCCTGGAGCCAGAGAATAATCAATGTGTTTTCAATAGTTGTTCACTGCACAAATGAAAAGGTAATGATCCGTTGTCTCCATCTGCGGGTAGATGCATGTCGATATTTTTGGCCTAACAAATTAAATAAAAAGCAAACCCTTGATGATGCATTCTTTTGGTCATGAACGTAACTCATACAAAAATGTATCATGATAAAGCTCAGAAAAATGGGAGGGCTTTCATACGGTAGATCTTCAGTACTTAACACGTTGATTTCAGCAAACAAGATTATCTTGATTCAGCCACTTTCTCTGAAAAAAATGCTGTGTTGTTTTTTTTTTTCTCTTTAAGAGACTGTAAGCACTATAAAGGCTGACAGACTCCTGGATAGGATTCTTTTGAGGAGGACAGAGTACTAAGAGATTAAATAATTGTGAACTTGTTTCAGGAGCCTTGTATTGGGATGACGATTTAATGTTTTCTTACTGTTCTCTTGCCTTGAAACTTGGGAAACTTATTGTGGTGATTTCCTGCCTAAATCAGAAAAATACAAATAATTATTTTCCTGTTTCAGTGTACTTGGATTCACTGTAAAAACACACTAATATTGATTGAGGCTGAACTTCAAGTTAACATAATTTCTTTTATCCATATAAAGGGTTTAGTAAATTGATGAGCTGAAATCTGATATAATTTGAGTAACAACTTCAGGCTCTTATACTTTAGTTTAAGAAAGCTAGGAATAAAAAGCAATAAAAGAACAATACACAATGCACTAAGAAGTATGGTCTTTTCTTAACATGGCCTTCAAAATAGCAGGATGTTGCTTTTTGTGTTTGGTGTGCATTTTCTTGTATTTCTGATCTTCACTTGAAGGAATGTGTGCCCCTTGCAGGATACCTAATCAGCAAGACATAAGTCTTGCATTTAGTCAGTACTAGATTCAATTTTTAACATAGTTGCAACTATAAACCTCTGCAGGATAACCTGAATACTGTGGAAAGCAAATCTGCCAGTGAAAAACGTTTTTACTATTATTATTTGGAAGAACTTATAAAGAAAACGTGGACTCTTTTAGGTTGTCAAACAGCTGAATTTAATACAGTTTAAAATACACATTAAAGGAAATATCAACAGATGACCAGTCTTAAGACATCACTCTCCAAAACACACATTTGTTTTATCTCATGGAAAATTAGCAACTGAAAATCATCAATATTTCTGCATAAACTGTGATAGACCATGGCACATGTAATTTTCAGAGAACTCGATTGATAGCCAAGTGGTTAATGCACTAAACGGAGGTAGTGAATCAGTCCACAAAAGACCCTTTTGCCTCCAGATACTTGTAACATCTGAATTCTCAATTAGTTCCTTTCCAAGTCTTTCATTACAGAAGTAAGTTTATAGCAGCAAATATGCCATATCTTCACTACAGAAGCTCTCCAGGATTTTTTTTTCATCAGTTTTATATATATATAATACTCATACACATATAACTGAACACCTGAGAACTACTGGTGCCTCTTCTTGTTTTCCATTCACTCCTAATGACTTTTTGGAGGCCCTCTTCATTCCATCATTGTAGGTTAAAACACAGACTGGAAAACTTCTGCTTTGTATTAACCTAATTGCAGTAAGATTTCTCTTTAGTAGATAGTGCATATATGTAAATTTAATTTCTATTCCCACCTCAGTTTTAAGCTTCCTATGGCCAGCAGTGCATAAAGGGGAAAAAGGGGTAGACTTTTACAACAGTGATGATTAGAAAACATTTTTCAAGCAATATAGTTTAAACTTCTCCTAGGATTTGTATTTGTATACAGTGTCCACTATCAGAAACATGTAGCATAGAGTTGCCATCTACTAACTGCAAATTTCTAGTCTGGAAACAAAGATGCCCACTTCTGCTCTCACCTTCCTCCACAGTCCTTGCAACTTAACAGAGTAGGAATTCAGCCTTAGTGTTTTCCATTGTCTTTAGACTTTTGTAACTATTTGCAAAATGTACTTTCTCTAGTTTAAAACTAATGTTACTAATCAGACTATAACAAATGAAAAAGTATGGATATGTCCAAAAGGGAAGAGCTGAGGAGATCAAAAGTCTTCGAATGACTTTCAAGTGCTTCTACAGATTGTTTCTATTACAGTACTTTTAATATATCAAACAGTATAAAAATTACAAAATATTGTAAAAAGGTAGCAAGAACATTGCTGCGAGTTTTTAAAATGTTTTAGTGGATGCTGTTAGAGATGTTGCAGAGTTAATGGCATGGGTTCTTTACACAACTTTGAAAATCCCCGTCCCTCTGCAACATTTTCTGTAAGTAAAAAGAAACCTAGAATATTCATATATATAAAATATAATTTTCTCCACTATCAAGAGTCTTCATGTATTTCTGTTGATATCCTTAAAGAAACTTTCTAAAAGAAAAATAAAACAATATCAGCTTAAGATAAATTAATTTTACAGTTCTGTGATGTAAAGTACAAGGAAATAAAACAAAAAAATGTATTTAAGTGAAATACATACTGTGAGAAATTAAAAAAAAAGGCAGCTTATTTTTCTTAGAATCTGGTGCTTGTTTTTTCTGAATTAATAGTTTGGCTTTCTGTGAGCACTGGTTACGACAAAAAAAGGATAGAATCTAATAAATCCTTCTGTCATTGTCAAACACTAACATTGGATTTCATGCTATTTTGTAGCCTGTATTTTAAAATGTCTGCATTTTTATTTAGTTTAATTCCATCACTTTCTTTTATTTATTATTTTCACAATATTTATATATAGTTAAACTTTCAGTGTTGAACACTTTGGGATCTGTTATCTGAAGCAGACTTATCAACTCATTTAGCTGCTCTGAGGACTACAGCATTGTCTGCAAATATGTATCTCCAAGGGAAGATTTTGACTTTTGATAAAACAGATACCATCACATATGTAGACATCAAAGAGGGATGGACTAGCAATAAATACCTCCCGCCCAAAATGGTAAATGTAATGATGCATGCATTTCTGAACGGTACTTCAATATTTCTGTCAGTTTTAGAAGGCAATTATATGCCTTTAACATAATGCATTGTGTGATTTTGAACAATTACTTTTTTTAAAAAAGTGTTTTGTTCTGCAGAACTTAGTTGGTTTTGTTTTTTTTTAATAAGGGAAAAACCTACAGCCATTGTCTATTCAGTACTATCAGTCAAAAGTAGACAGGTGTAGAAATGTTTGCTATTGGGTAGCAATATATGTTAACTCTGTATTCTTAGTTGAAAATTTATTTCTATATATGCTTATGAAAGTTCTGTACAGATTATATATAAGTATTAACCACTTCCATGCTGAGCAAGCATGTAAAAGTGAAGCAGCGAGTAAATGAATTACAAAGTTTTACATGATGTGGTGTCAAAGTTCAGTTTTATGACAGAGGACTTAGAGGGTTCTCACTATTTTTCCTCCCTTCCCACCTTCACAAATTCTGGATATGGTTTCCAGCAATTTATTACAGCACCAATTGGCTCACATATGTGATCTCGATTATTAGTTCTACAGTTAGGCAAGTGCTTGGATCTAGTTTTCGACTTTCTGGGACTTGTGTGAGGCAATGGTATATATGAAAGCCCTACGTATGGGGTATAACATCTACAGTGATTAAAACTGAGTTAGCTCATCTTTGTAATTATGGTATAAAGCAGCAGTTCTCAGTCTTTTCTACCTTAAGGTCTCTACTCCAGTCTTGCAAAGATCTAACTACTTTATGGGAAAAACAAACATCCAGAAGTCTGAGAAGGATAAGGAGGCCATGATCCTCCTAACATCTACAGTAGTATCCAGGAGGCTTTGTCCTCAAATCTCCACAAGGCACTTGCCATGAGCAATGTTGGTTTTTTTTTTTACAAGTTCTTTTGCCAAACTTAAGCCTCACACATTGGTATTTTCAGCATTTTGTATCCCTGTACCAAACAAAAACCACATGAAACACTGCAGCTGTGTAAACAACAAGAGTTGGTAAGGCAAAGAGGCAAAGCTTGTGAAAGTAAGTTCAAGGCATGCCTTTCACAAATCATATAAAGTGTTTTCTTTTTACCTAATCTAATATTTTCTCTTCCTTAAAGTCAGGCTTGATGCATCACCAGATCCAGCTACCCAAACCAGAAGGTTTTCATGTCAATACTTTTCAAAAAGTATTTGATATTCTTTGCATTGTGAGGGAATGTATATCAAAATGTGAAATTTTCAGAAAGAAAGGAAACATCTATGATTGAAATGCATTGGGTTATTATATAAAATCGCTCAGGCAGAAAGAAATGCAGTTTTAATTGCGCCATTTATTTTAGTATTATGTCACCACCCTTAGAGGGCCTTTTTCTACAAAAAGATTGATCAATTAGAAGAAATTAAGTTATTGAATAATTTTCAAGACCAGACACCTACTAAAATATTAAACTGATTTTTATGTTTTAAAACCCAGGGGAAAAATATTCATTAGGTAGACAGAAATCACTTCTGTGACTGACAAAATTTGTTTCTGTATAGCTTTGGTATATCTAGCTGAGACAAAAAATGGTAATTTTCTATTGCATTTGTTGTTACACAATTCATAGCACTTCTTAGTCACTGCTAAAATAGGTAGATACCAACCTGAAAATCTCTAATGAACGTTAAAAAGAAGAAGATAAAACCAAAGGCCACCGTCCATTCACAGATCGCACTCACAAAATGATAAGTATAATCCTGATGAAATGAGACATAAAATAAATTTTCAGATAAAACAGCCGAACAAAATAACTGTGGAATGCTAGAAAAACAGACATTTCCATCTGTAAAGTCAGCAAATATTCTAAGACTTATGACTCATCATCCCAATACCCTGTTGTATAAAAGTCAATTCAGATTAGTTTTTACAGAATGGTAAGTATATTTATCAAGGTTGCATATGTTCCATTAAGCAACACGTCTTGTGCACTAACATAAAATATAGTACAAGAAAACTACAATTAGCACAAGACAAAAACATAGCTTGAACATAATTTGCACCTGAAAATATTTAGTTCTTATGTGAAGGATACCAAAGTGCCCATATTCAAAACTTTTACTCAGAGCCACTGAGTTCGGTAGTACTATCCCTTACAGTAAATTCTCATGATGTTTTAAAATGGAGGGCTACCATTGTACAACAGTTCCTGACAAGACCTTTGTTTTTAAGTAGACCATCATAGAAAACATATGTAATATGACACAAACAGAATGTAAAGTGTTCCTTAACATGCCATCAACAAATATGCCATCTGCTTCAGTAAAAACATTTTCTCATCCTTGCATCTCAAGTAAAAAAAAAAAAACTCAAGAGGCAGATATTACTAAAATTATCTAACTTGTGAAGATTTATCTCACAGCGGCCTTGCCACTGTTTGGTTGAAGTACATTTGCCAAGTTTGCTTTTATTAAGCTCTTCAAGCAGGATACACTCTCTGCATTATTTAATGTGGTTTTTGAATACCTCCATGTGGCAAAGTTTGTCCAAAAAGAAAACTTACCTTTCATAATTATCATTCTGAGAACACTGAAATCAGTTCAAATACCTGATACTGACTTTAGTATGGTTCAGGTCAGACCCGCAATGTTTATCACAATAGTAAAGACTATTTAATAAAGAATGGTGAAAAAGCTGAAAAAAACAATGTTGTAAAAAAACTTCAGAAACTTCAGAATCAAATTGTTCCACTTTTGTTTCATATGTGAAGTTCATTTTCAAGAAATGTGACTATAAAAGGAAGTAGAACAACTCACTGCTACGGGTAAGTTTCAAATGCTTGGTTAAAATGAAAGTCTAACTCTCTGAAAATTGACCCATCCGTGACAAGTTTTCTTCCCAAGCTGCAGACAGTTTTCTAATGAAGAAATAACTGGAAACCAGCACTGCACAAATCGGTGAGATTTCACAACTCTGTTCATGATAATGTACTATTTAAAGTCTCTGAAGTGTTTGTAATGCTATACACTTTTAAATAAACATAAAAGCATACCTCAAATAATATGATACAGGGTAAGTTGTTTACCTAATGAGATTTTACCTTTTCACCTGAAGTCCAATGAATTTTTGTCATGGAAATTTGTGAAGCAAACACAATCACTGGGGAAAACACAGTGTAAAGGAAACTATAAAAGTTTAGTGAGTAATAGTGAAAATGTCTGCTTACAAAAAAAGACCCCATCTCCCCCTTCTGTAACACAGGAGATCCTGAACAACCAGAATATCAAAACAAAGTATTCAGAAGACAAGTAAATGAAACACATTATTGAATGGTAACTGATAGCAGCAATCAAAACAGATTTCTGCACAAATAAAGGTTTCTGTGGCTTCTTCCGAAGTACAGAGGGTAAGGAAAGACAGTCCAAAACTTAGATCACATTCATGATTGAGAACTGTGGGAGCAGAGTCCCACATTGTTGGAAGGGGAGCCATGTTGGTTCCCATTCGTCCACAATAGGTGCCTTGATATATTTGTACAACTTTCTCTCAGGACTGGGGTCCTCTTTAAAAGCCCTTTCACAGCTGCTGAAACCAAAAGCAGGCTGTAGCTGGCTGGCTGATGCAATGATCTGCTGCAACGACTTTTCAACACTGGCAGATCACCTAAAGACCAATAAAATCAATGGGATGACTCTAATTTCAGCAGGCTGCGGGAAAAGCCAGTAAGTGTGCTGAGTGTGTCTCTAGAGGAGGCATCTAGTTAAGCCAAGCACCAACCAACATGATCAAAAGCGTCTGCTTAGGCTTGAAGGAAATCATGTGTATGCCAACTGTATTTTATATGTCCGTGTGTTAGGTTCATTTTAGAGGCGATGGCCCCATTTTGCAGGCCTCTCTCTGTACCCTCCTTCAAATGAAGGAGGTTGGAAAATTGATCTAGCTTTATTATCATATGATCCTATGAAGAACATTGGGGCATTAGATTTAAATATACCACTGAAGGAAGAGATACAACTTTTTAGAAGACCCTGAAACTCATCTTTATGCTATTAACGGTGTCTTGTCATGCTATATGCATTATTATAGCAGAAATATTAGAGCGCCCTAAGCAAAGATCGTAACTTCATTTTCATCCTTTATCAGCAATGGTTTAACTTAAAAGGAAAGTCATGAATGCATAAAGGGAACACCGTGGGATACACCATAAAGGATACTGGGAATGAAAGCAATGCATGATATTACAGATATGGCCATCCTTATGTGGCACACAAAGTAAGTGTTCCATTGTGGACAGGACTTGTAAGAGATTATAGACTGAAGTGTAATGTATACAACACCCGAGCCAAATGCCACCAAAGCTCCTATGTCATGGACACTGGGAACAGACAGCTCCTGGAAAGAGAATCAGCACAATGGTTAGCTGCTACTATTTGTACAGTGGTAGGAATCAGTGAGCCTTGAGAAGATGGTAGCCACTTTATGCTGGGCACGTACAAGCAGTGAGAAACAGTCCCTTCTCCCAACAGTCTACACAGGGAAGATGAAAGAAAATGGAGAAAGAGAGCTCACAGAGGTAAACTAACCATGTCCAAAGCCACCAGGTCAGAGTCCTTTCCCATGTTCACATAAAAGCATAGATCAATTTTAGTGCTGTTCAACAGTTGGTCTATTACCAAATAATGTTTCCACAAACAGGAACTGGCTTGTGTTTTTCTTAAGAGGTTCCTATACCTCCTTTTTCCTTTTATCCTGCCAAAGATTTTCATCCCTTTGCATTGAAAGTCTAATCTGCATTTGTGTGGCCATAGTCTAACTAATGGTAAAGTTGCACGGGAGCTGTTCTAAATAGTGACTGCTATAGCTCCATCGCCCAAGCCTCCAGTGGCCAGCCACAAGGCTCCAGGAAATAAGTCAGCAGAAAATTAGTTATATATTTTTTAAAAAAAAGTGTTACCTAAAATAAGCTCTTGATATGAAGGTCTTACACTGGCAGTCTCTTAAATTATTCAGCCCTCTTACTCTTCCCCACATCATCAGCCACTTTTATTCAAGTTCCTCAACAGGTGAAAGTGTGTATAGAATTCCAGTATCACTATATGTGGCCTATATTTTTGTAATACCCTACCTATGGAAGATTCTCTCCTTTAAAACACAAACAAGTAGAATATCCAGTAAAAAAACAGATGAAGATTCCAGAGAAATTATTGTATTCTAAATGTTTCAAAAAATTACAAAGTTATGGCACCTTGCAATCCAATATCAGACAGGTAAGTTAGCTTCAAAGCTCCTTTCTGTCACCAGAGCATAGCAAAACATGTGCTATGATCTGACCTACTATGTTCTATTTTAGTGATTCATGAAAACACATCTATATCCTTTCATTACATATTTTAACATCTTTCCTGCCTGGAGGCCACTGTTTTCTTTGTCTTGTAATGGTGATACATCCACATGCTCTTTTAAATTCTTTTTCCCCATGCATTTCTTTCTACTGATTCCCTTCAATCTCTCTGTGACGTACTAAGTTCTGTCAGATTTTAAAGCATGTTCCTCACATAGGTATTTAAGTGGCATCTCATCTATACTTGCATTTTCTTCTTCTCTGTCCCACTTTTTGCCTTCCATATAGGAATGACGGGATTTGGTGTGGAAAGCATTAAGCAAGGGTAACTGTTGGCTTTTGCATTTGGCCTGATACAGAGGTTTTCTAACATGGCTCTCATGATTGCTCCTATCAAACTGGCACAGCTTCCCCAAAAAAGCCTATCACAGTCAACCCCTACAGAACTTGGGAAATGTTGTTACATCTGCTATGGTAAGCCTCCTAAGCTTTCTAGTCAAAGACAGGAAGATCTCTTTTTAATCATTTGTAACGTCTAACGGGCAAAACCAGACCTGCTAAGACCTGGGTTTTCGCTTTGCCTTATTCATTAAGGTCTACAGGATTTTTCCTTCCATATCCAATTATCTTCTTAAAGCTAACCCTCCAGTGTCTTTCATTTCTGTATTTCAAGCATTGTGTTATTTAAAACAGAGAACAAACACATTATTCATGACCATTACTTATTCTCTCAGAAACTCTTTTGTTTTTAGAGGGTACACTAAAACACTCCTAGTGTTTTCTCCCACCTCGTTCCTCACTTTTGCTAAGCGTTCAGACACCAATACCATTAAAACCTCATGCTACCTACCATATCTTACCTTGAAGCAAAAAGGTTGAAAAAAATTTCCTTACAACGAATTATGCTACTTAAAAGACTCACCACAAGTGGCACTAGATTTGAGTAAATAAAAGCAGACCTTAAATATTTCCAGTATAATTTCACACTGAGGCCTTTTTAACAAACTAGATATTTTGCTTTGGAGAAAGAGAAAATGAACTGATGCCCAATAGTGTCAATCAGCTCTACTACAGTACTCAGATATGGTGTTAGCTCACCCAGTGGGGAAAAATAAGTGTTAAGAAACAAAACAGGTAGTGCACATGAATGTGAATTTTCTCCGTGACCCACAGATTAGAGGGACTAGACCGAATGCTGAAGAAATAACTTCTAATTCCAGCTTTGCTTTGGTCTCCTGACCTGAAACAATCACCTGACCTTGAGCAAATCTCACAGCCTCTTCATGTCTCAGTTAGTCTACTAGTAAATGGGGATAAGAGTGTACCGGTCACTATCTGTACACTATACAGTTAAAAGACCAAAAACTTGCAAGCCATCATTTCCATCTTCCTGGGCAATTAAGCATGCTCAAAAACCCTCTAGATCAGATCCTTACCTAGATTAGATCCTTACTGTGTTCTGAACCCTTCCTACAAACTGCACTTAACATGGAAAGTAAGGGCAAAGCAGAGGAAAGAGAAATTAGGTGAGGAAGGAGTTTATGAGCAGGCAATGACAGACAATAGAGATTAGATAAGAACCAATGTTCTAATTGTCAAGGGACCCCTTTGGACACTTTAGGATCAAAGTTTCTGCTTCCCGGACTCTACCAAATTATTTTGCATTCCTGATTTGTCTTTTCCTTATAGAAGCTGAGTTTGTTTTCTATTTCAGTCAAGGAACACTGTTCCCCATCATCTAACTTTTTTTGTGTGCCACATATAAATCTAATCAATAAGAGCACAGATGTTTAAAAGTAGAATAGCATGCTTAGAACAGAGTGTAGTGTTAGCAATCCACACGCACTGCCTGGAGGTAAAACTAAAAAAGAGCAAGATATCAATCTAAGGCAGAGTTTTTTGTCTGAAAATACCATGTCAATTACATGCAAAATTGTATTGGCTGCTGAAGCCCTGGTAATCTTTATTTTCAATTTATCTGTATGTTGTCAGGTTACTATATGAGCACAACAGTATTTACCAAAAATGTTCCCCAAGGCAGGCCATCCTTTAAAAGAAATAATTCAGCTGTTTCCACAGATTTAAAGGCAATATCTCAAACTATCTGCCAATTAAACTTGACTTGATTCTCAGCTGAAGTTTTCAGTGCAATTGTTCTAATACTTCTTTGTGTCAGAATCTACCTTTATTACACACTTCCTCACTAGAAAAGGTGAAAAGAATAACCTGTTTCAATATTTTTCCTCTCTGTTAAATTTTCTTTCAGACACTGAGGGCTGGACTTCTTTGATTTATAATGAGATGTCTCATCCTTTCTGGCAAAGTAAGTGGTAATTCTACATGTCTCTATCAACAGACTTAACATGTTGTTATGCCATCTCCTACAGACTCAAAGCAATGGACTAATATTGTGCTCAATGTTCTAACCTGCCAGGTAAGTCTAGTTTATTTGGTAAAAGTGCTGCTAGTGTGTGTGCCATCATTCAGGTAAAAATACAGGTGCTTTTGCTAGCCTGACATATTCTGCCCTATCTGACTGTAAGCGAACTAAACTGCGAATAGCAAAGCTTTTTTACAGTAAAATTTTCATAGTAAAAATTTTACAAGAAAAACGTCTATATTAAGTTGTTTTCTAGGACAGACATGTTACAAGACAAGCACACACAAAACCCCTTACTGACATAACTGTAGAAGCAAAAAATCTAATATATAGGGAGAAAGCAAATCAGTCTTTTTAAAGCTACTGAAAAAATGCAGGAATAAGAAAGACATTCTTACTCCATTTGCCAAGTATCCACACTGGGATAATGTTAAATACTCTTATCTATTTGATTTTTTAACTGGTAAAATAACTTTAGTTTAATTTATGATATGAACTGCATGGTCATACCTGAAAAGCTGCAACTATACCCATTCCAATACAGCCCATCAATCCAATACATAATGAAAACATGTTGCATGAAGACCTAACAAAGTGTGATGCCTCATTTTGCTTCTCTATTAATAAATATCTGATGTACATTGTAATTACACCTGAAAAACAAAAAAATACATACTTTGTTCAATGATCATGTGTTGTTTACGTTATAACACCTTGCCCTGTAACACATTAGCATACAGAATAAAATTATAAGCATAACACAATAAATAATACTGCCTTTAACTCTACTGGAAGGAAGAAGACAAGTAGTGAATTTCAGATATATTACTTTCAGATAGAACTGTCTTAACATTATCTTAGTCTTAGCATTGCACATTAATGCTATCTAGAAATAACTGCACATCACTTCAACAAAAACACTAATTTAGGCACAGAGGCACTGGCATTCCACATTAGGAATAGATGTTACGCAGAGATGAACCATAAGCTGGAAATGGGAGAATTTTTTCTGCCTGATATGCAGTCCTATACCAGAACTTCATCTCCTTATAATGGATGCCCTGAAGAATTAATACATTTTTGAATAGTGTAAACAGAAAAAAATATAACTAGCTGTGTATCCAGAAAACATTTTCAAAGCTTTTGGGACAATTCTGGCTGCTCTTTAGTACAACAGCATCCCCAAACCACTACACACAGATTTTAGTCCAGCCTACATGACCCCAATATGCAGTTCACTCCTGACAAACATCTCTACTGCATTAGAAGATCATGGTTCATCAGGATATAATAAGCTGTAGACTGGATTCCACAGTTCAGTAACATAGAACATCGTTTCAGTCTATCTACAGTTGGAAAAATAAATCGTGTAACTTTGTCTGGGCACTATGAAATACACCAAGATAGTGTGACTGAATGAGGCTCTTAGAAAAGGTAAAATAGGTGATTTTTTTATGCAATCATAGAATCGTAGAATGGTTTGGGTTGGAAGGGACCTTAAAGATCATCTAGTTCCAACCCCCCCCCGGACTACACGTATACAGAGGTACACAGCTTTTGATCCTCCATCCCCTAGAGGTGAATAGAAAATGCCAAACTTCTTGATTCAAGACCAGCAGCCATTTAGTAGAGGAGTAGGGATCTTGCAGAGGAAACCAGGTGTTGCTTCAACACTGTTCTTCCCTTTGCTGCAGCATCCTAGAGCCTAATGTCTCCCTACATCAGATACACTTTTTGCAAAGTAATTATGCCATCTTTCTTCCACTTTTTATTTCCAGCTGCATTGACTACTTTGCACTGATGAGGTGCTCTTAAGAGACAGAAGTGCCTCTAAGCCTGCACTCCCTGAGCCTAAGGACCTGGCCCTCTAGTTACTACTTCCATCTACCTGATAGTACCACTCGACTGTGGAGCACTTTTTCTGCAGAATATTTTATGGACTGCAATGTAAGCAGACAGCTTTCGCTCGTTTTCATTTCTTTGCTGTGTTCAAACCAAGTATCTTATACGTACCTAAAAGTGCTGAAATATTAATCATAAAACCAAAGATACCACTCTCCGGAGGTTTAGTTCCAGTGTCACTAAAGCAGGAAGAGAAAGAAATTAAAAGTTAATTGAGATCCGTGAAACATAAATGAGATGTACACATGAAACCCCAAGAGAAATGTAACTTGTGTGCACTGCTGCTATGTGCGTAAGACATTTAAACATATAAATTGGAATGTTGTCTGCTGCACGCTTAAGCTCCATTTGTAGTACTGAATCTTTCTTTTTAGAAAGAAATAGTATTTTTAGAGCATACTATTTGAACTGTATTTCTTTCTTTTCTGTATGCAATATGCAGAGATGTGACAGAGCGATACTTTACTCCTGAAAGACATAAATGATTACATAAATGACATTTTAGAAATAACATTTCTTTTATCTTCTACATTAACACCATGATAGAGTAAAACATATCTAATGGCATTCAGTATCCTAAGATGTGAGAGAACTGGGCTTAATTTCCTGATATGTTTGAAAGGACTTTACCCCAGGAGAGCAATTGCATTCCACTGCCCGGGAATGTTCCTAGGCACTGTTTAATTTACTAGTGTAGGTACAGCTTAAGAGTACTCTGGGCCTAGGTGTTGTAAGTCTCTTCCACTGAAGCAATTCACCCTTACAGGGGATAATTAGAAGTTCACTGGGACAGACAGATGGACCATGAGCATGAGAATATCTACAGAATTTATACACATACATACATGCACATATATATATATATATGAAAAACAACATGTATACAAAATATATGTTATGTAGAAAATTGAATACTTTGATCATAACACCCACACCAGAGAATGCCCTTTCCTCACAGGAAGGACATATTCCTGGGAGTATGTGGGTTCAAGTTCCCCCAAGCAGGACTCTTTACACAAGGTGAGTGCTCTGTTGAAAGAATACTGCGATGCCATCACCTCTTTGCACTATGTTTTCTTGTCTAACATTCAGCCAGTTGATATCTATTCGATCAGGCTCTGTTAGTCAAGCCAATGGAAAACATGTAGCTCATAAATCTTTACATAATTTGGGTGTGAGCTGAGTTTTCAGCTACTCAGCAGTACCAAGAGGCACGATTGTGTGTGTAAACAGAGGCACCCAAGGAACACTACTGTCAGAAATGTAAAGACATAAGGATTTTAGCTAATGTCAAAGTTCAGTGGAAACAGAGCAAAGATTCTGAGAACAAAATTTTCTCTTAGGTGTATGATGGGACAAGTAGGTACTAGCTGGAGATTTTTTTAATGTGATTCAAGACGACGAATACTGTTCATTCCAACGGTGAGGCTGGATTAGTTTTCAGTGCTAAACTTCTGAACCTACCACTGAGTGCAGCCAAAATGACAGGTGCTCAGCATGAATGCCTGTGCTCTTAACACCCAAAAGAGAAAGCACTCTCTACATAAGCAATCATTCTTACAGATTTTGACAATTTTGTTAAGTTCAAGCCAGAAGAGTATGACCATATCAAAAGATTTAGGTTTTTTAGAAATTAATGTTTGCTTTCAAACCCTTTCTGTTACAGACGCATTCGTGTAATCAGTTGCTAAGATGATTTATCAAGAACAGGAGGAAGCTTAGGGTGAAGGGAGAATCCTTTTCTATGACAAGCTGATGCAAAATATAGAGAAAAATCTTGTATTTCTTTTGACTAGATTGGTTCCAAATTCTCAGACAACAGAAGCTTGGACCAGGCTTTTAGACAAGTTTTTACAACTTCTTAGGCATTAGGAATCCCTATTCATCTGTATTTTCTTGTTATAAAGTTTTCTGAAGACATGCTCCAGCTTGTACTCTGTGTTAGTCTTGTTTCTCTTTGATGGTGGAATTGGTGAAAAAAGTACAGTAACTCTCATTTTTTTGTTTGACACTTCTGAAAATCATCTTAATCCATGCTTCATTTAGCCCATTTTTTAACCTTGAACTTCACATCTTTTCCTCATGTTTCTGGAGTGTTTTCATTAATATGAAAAAGGACTCCATTTAAAAAGTGGGCCACTTGTGACAATCTTGAAGGAGTTTTGCAAATCAGAAACTGCTCTATGCTAAGTACAGGACTGTGATCACTTCAAAGCTTTTGAAGGACTTTAGGTGAGAAGAGAATGGAATCAGCACATGCAAAGAAAGCCACTTGAAGTTCTTGGAACACTTCACATAATAAAAGCAATCCAAATAACCTGAAATTGCACTGAACTCCATTTTTTTAATTAAAGCTTTTCTCAAGCTAAAGCTTTATAGGTGAATTTTGCGATTGTTGATTTTTACACTCAATAATCTTAGATGTATGCTTTCAAGAAATTTCATACCAAGAATACTTTATCATATCTACAATGTATTTACAAAGTACTGCACCAGACTTTTAAGGACATGATCTTTTTAATGCCATATTTTCCACTGAAAAATCCCTGAAGCTAAATAAAGACTTAGGTACATTTTTGGTTTACTTCTGGTCTGCTGCTTTGGAAAAAAGGGGGGGAAAAAAAAGTATTTGTGACAGTTACTTTCTTTTCCTGAAAAAGAAAAAAGCAACTGGCACATATGAAACGAAAACATGTGCTCACTTATTTGCAATGGTGCATAGGTTAGCACAACCACCACAGAAAAGATGAGGAACCCTGTATGAAAATGACAGCATTTATGTCACTGTCTCATGTAGCAGAATTCTACAAACAGTCAAACAGTCTTCTGAAGAGTGGAAAGACAAGAAGGTAGAGGAAACAGGGAATAAATATTTTAGGGCCAGAAGATTCATCATCATATTTTCTTCATAGCCACCATAAACTATTTTTCTCCACACTGAAGTCTCAAATTTTTAAAGTAGGAAGATTATATTCTGCCTATAGGGATCCGGATTGATCCAGAGGTACTAACTGGCAGCAAATACCTTAAGGGAAATTCCCTTTACTCTTTCACTGAGAATTCAAACCACCAAACAGCCACCCCAGCACATCCACATTGGTTTGTATTTTGAGTAGTATGAGCAAAATAACTAATTTGGGCACAAGTTAATCATTTTTTAAGCGTCAGCTGCTAGAAAACACAAAATCATATTCATTTTTATCTACCCAGAAATGTATTTATATGGTTTACTTGATGAGACATTAGCACAGTTTCAGTGACAAATTTATATGTGCTCTTTCTCTCACTGTGACAGCTGTTATATGGTAAACAAATAAAATTAACAAGTTATCTCAAGACACACACAGGGTACTTGAGGAATGTAGATAAGGACTACAGAATGTTGAACTAAAATTTGTCAGTATTTTTCTCCTTTATGTAACTGGAATTTCCCCATGCAAGCTCTACTTAATTTTTATAGTTCATTTTAAGATATTGCACAACTGAAATGTTGCAACATTCTTCCTCTTCCTTTTTTATCACTAAATCACATTCTTAATCCCATGATTCAGCTTGTTAGGCTAAAGGAATGACCTGCAAAAATAAGAACACGAACTTTTGTACGACTATTGGCCTGACTACTTAGAAGAAATTATCATATTACTCCCAAGTGCATCTTCTGTGAAGATCATATGCTCAGATCATGTACCTTTAGAATTATTACAGATTGTTCACCATCAGTCAATGTATATCCTTAGTCCAAATGTTCTGTTAAAAGGACGTAAAATAAACAAGACATCTGTCTTTTAAAAAACTTTACTAGCAAATGCAGAGGGCCTGAAATGTGAGTGGGTTTGGTGTTTTTTTAATCACTGACACAGCCACATATGTATTGCATTTTTTTTAGGGTATGTGGACATTTATTGTAATTCCTTAGTTAAAGGATAAGAATGATTTTTTCACTGAGATGTTCAGTTAGATTGATATAACTATGGCAGCTGTGATACATTCATCAGAGTTGTGACTTGTACGTTTGGTTTACCTCTTCAAAAAGAATGACACTTACAATTGAGATATCTGGGCTGTCAAGAACTTGACTGCAAACACAATTATAGAGGAAAAAAAAAGGTCCTGTTCTCTCATATATTTTATTCAAGGACATGGCTTCAACCTAAGAAACATCATTTGGCAAATTTCTTACTACAAGACCTCAAAATCCTTCTGAGCACAAACCATGAACTGAGCATGGACACAGTTATATCAAACAGTTTCTTTTTCTTGGTTAATAATGGATAAATTGCACTCGTTACAAGTGCTTTTGTGTCAGTAAAACTGTGTATGTAATCAAGGAAGAGCATGAGTATAACCACAATTGTTAAGGCAGTAGAGTTTTTGTGCATGTACAAGAACAAGGCTTTCCAAGAGTTGAGTCCAGATTTGGGCTGATAATCTTAAAAAGTTTTGCTAACATAAGCATGAAGCCCAATTTTCTTTGGCTCAATTTGAATGAAGCTCAACTTTCTTGTGGGTTGCGGTGTCATTTGCACCATCTCACTTGCTTATGATGACAGACCCTAATTTTCAGTCAGATTTATGTGTATGTACAAATGAAGTTAGCAGTCTTCTGAAATTATGCACGTCCTAAAAGTCCTTCAAGGAATTAGGTCTAGATGTATCTTGAAAGATGTCTTTGAAAGTCTTTTTTAGATCTTGTATATATCAGAGACCACTCTCGGATTTCTGGCTTACCTTTAATCTGTAAGAGCTAAATACTAGCAATTTCACAGCTCAGATTTAAATGTTAACATAAGCAATGTATATACAATGATACAGAATATACAGAATTGGCCTTAAATGACTAAGGCTATAGAAAAGAGATGCCACTCATCTCTCAGGGAGCCTTTTACGCTCACTGTTCCTATGCTGAAATATTAATCATGCATGTTTGTGGGACTGTGCGTCCTACAAAAGCTATTGTAGGGCTTCAAGTCCTGTCACTACCCGGTGCAGTTTGCCCAAGTTCTGGAGTTACAAAAGCAAAACTACATTTCCACCACTGACTCCAGGGCAGTGACCCTAAGTTTTGCTAACATCGGGCCTGCAGCGCTCTTTGGCTCCAGCAGAAAACTGTTTCAGGTCCTTTCTACCACGTCCATCAGCGTTGGGGTCCTGTGGCTCTCGGAGAGGGCTGGGCGCCAGAGGTGCGATGGGTGACAGGAGCACACAGCGGGCCCCTGCTCTGCCTCCCCTCACGGGGAGGCCCCGCCACCGCTGCCTCTCCTTCCTCCGGGGAGCCCCACACCCGCGCCGGGGGCTCGGCCCCAGCCGCGGGGGGAAGGACCCGCGGAGCCGGCTGCGAGGGGGCCCCTCAGCACCTCCCGGCTAAGCCGCCACCTCACAGCCCGGGCGTCACCCCCCGCGCCCCGCCGGCACCTCAGCCGCTCCCACCGCCGCCCCTGCCTCACCTGATGTAGGGGACGAGGGGCTCGGCGTGGCC